CGGCTTACAGTATAAAATACGAAACTCCTTTGGACCCTGTGGTATAGCCTGCGATCGCAGACGTATTTCCGGTCGTCGCTAACACGCGTACTACAGGGTCCAGAGGAGTTTCGTGTGAATAAATGAATTACTTATTTAAAGTCTCACCTTGACAAATGTCTATACCTGTCGCTTAGCACGATTAATTAGCCCAATGGGATTTTTATGAATCTACTGTAAACGATTTCTTCCCTTATTATCTGACCCAGATCAGCTTTGTTGTTCGCCATTTTGAAAATCAATAACCGCAAGCCATATCCTCGCTGGCGCACGGAACGTCGCCCGAAGGGTGACCGAAGGGCGACCGAGGCACGAAGTGCCGAGTAAAATAATGGACAAGGGAGGAAACTTGTACCACGTGATTTCGTTCGCTGTGAACCGCATCACTCGGTGACGGAAGTGAATGAGACCGGAAACGCAATAGCAACTCGAGAATCAAAACATCAGCTGCGGAGGGAGTTTTAAAGATCTCAGAGATCTATGCAAAGGCAACAGAGTTTTAATTGAAGTGAAGATCTTTCAAGACTGGACATTTATTGTACATGTCAACATTCTTCGATGTCTTAAGCAGGTTTAGCTTGTGCAATTTTTTCTCAGTAGTCGCAAAACGCACAGCCAAAGACGCAAGAGGTAACACTGTTGGGACCACCGAAGAATGGCGCAGTCGTGATGATATTACAGTTGCCTTGTACGTCCGCTCTACTCAGTGTCACGTTTTATTGCAAGAGTACACACGACCTGTAAATCACTATCCGTAATAATTTAACATTCTCCAAACAAAACTAACCAGCTGGGCCCAGCGTGATACAGCATTGCAGAAAAACGTTACCTTCACGGACTAAAGAAAATCGCTTAGTTGTTCAGATCCAGTCGGCACTTTGGAGAAAATTGGAACCCTTATTCAGCCGTAATAAAAAGCTTCACGCTTCAAAAGAGCTCAAAGAAAATGCGCTTGCAGAGGGCAAATCCTGCGACCAGAAACAATAACCACAGTAAATCGATATGTGTGTCATGACCTCTCAGAGTGAAACATGCGGCTAGAATCACATTTGCTCAGTGAAAATGTAGAACGTTCTAGAGCACAATCTACCCAGCAGAGGAAAAAAACTTTATTGGAACGAGCAGCATTTTAGCATGAGGTAAAAGTCGTGTAGGCTTACCATCCCCTTTTATTGCTCTGATCTTGAGTACATTTACTTTACCACGTCATTTCTGTCACCATCTGTTGCGGTNGTAGTCGCAAAACGCACAGCCAAAGACGCAAGAGGTAACACTGTTGGGACCACCGAAGAATGGCGCAGTCGTGATGATATTACAGTTGCCTTGTACGTCCGCTCTACTCAGTGTCACGTTTTATTGCAAGAGTACACACGACCTGTAAATCACTATCCGTAATAATTTAACATTCTCCAAACAAAACTAACCAGCTGGGCCCAGCGTGATACAGCATTGCAGAAAAACGTTACCTTCACGGACTAAAGAAAATCGCTTAGTTGTTCAGATCCAGTCGGCACTTTGGAGAAAATTGGAACCCTTATTCAGCCGTAATAAAAAGCTTCACGCTTCAAAAGAGCTCAAAGAAAATGCGCTTGCAGAGGGCAAATCCTGCGACCAGAAACAATAACCACAGTAAATCGATATGTGTGTCATGACCTCTCAGAGTGAAACATGCGGCTAGAATCACATTTGCTCAGTGAAAATGTAGAACGTTCTAGAGCACAATCTACCCAGCAGAGGAAAAAAACTTTATTGGAACGAGCAGCATTTTAGCATGAGGTAAAAGTCGTGTAGGCTTACCATCCCCTTTTATTGCTCTGATCTTGAGTACATTTACTTTACCACGTCATTTCTGTCACCATCTGTTGCGGTGCACAGCGAACGAAAGCGCTATCTCGAAGCCGTAAATTTCGGTCGCCGAAAATGAATTTGAACGTTTTTTTATGCCGTTTTCCTACAGTATTTGGTAAATACATAAGAATTCTAGATCAGGTTAGTAAAATCAGGCGATTTCATTCAATTCCATTTGAGTTTCAGGGATTCGAAAATTGGCCCCAAATTTGTTTCCTCCCTTTCCGTGTTTTATACTGTAAGCCGATCTTGCGAGCCCTCAGTCTCTTGGTTTGCGGTCAATAGAATGTGTAACGAAACTGTAACTCGATCAAAATAACCCATTTTTTCCGAGGTTTTCGACGGGTTTAGATGTTCTAACGACAAACACATCTCCTCTGGACCCCTGCGCGCGTACTAAACAAATCATCGACGAGTACGATATAAATAGTACCGTCGATAAATTAAAGTAGGAAGTGAAAAACCTTTAGAGAGTAAATCCTGTTTCGTTTAGAATTATTAAGTTAATGCGCAGTGCAAAACCAGGGAATTTAAGGGCGTCTATGTCGCCTGCAAGGTTTTGACCTTAGTCCTCTGCTTAAGGCATCGCCAGATAATTATCATCAAATGCTGGTGTTTTCCCTTTTTATTCGGACAGTTGTTTCGCCTGCAGAAGTTCTGTTCAAATTTAAGTTGCAACTATTTAAAGGCTCCCTGCTCGTAGTGACTGGGTCTGATTACAATTTCTCAAAATTAGGAAAGGAGTCTTTTGTAGAACTAGAACATAGTACGGTGGTCCATAAGGGTTATGCACAGTATTATTATTCTCATAAGTCGAGAATTTCCCATCCCGACTTATAACTCGAGATCTCGAGTTATAATGCAAGATTTCGACTTATAATGCGAGATCTAAGATCCCTATCTATAAAACGAGATCTCTAGTTATAAGTCAAAATCTCGAGTTATAAGGCGAGATCTCGAGTTATAAAGCGAGATCTCGACTTTTAACAAGAGATCTCTTGTTATAAGACGAAATCTCCACTTATAAGACGAGAACCCGAACTATAACACGAGATCTCGTCTTATAACACGAAATCTAGTCTTATAACGAGAGATCTCTCACTTCTAACGCGAGATCAACTGGACTTATAACTAGAGGTCTCGACCTATAACTCAAAATCCCATCTTACAACTCGCATAGACTCTGGGAGTGGGGGTGAAAAACTCAGTAGGTTAGACAGGGGAGTCGCAGACATATACCATGCGTGACCCTTATGGGGTCCCTTGCTCGCCATCGAGTCTCCAGTAGCTCAGCGGTTAGAGCATCCGACTAGATCATGGAGGGTCGTGGGTTCCAATCCCATCTGGCGCTGGGATTTTTTTCCGAGTTTCCATTTGATGCAAAAAACGTATCATGTTCTAGGAAATGAGCAGATGAAAACTGTGCAAAATAATTTTAAATGGGATGAAACTAAGATGAATCGTATTTTTTGTAGATATAATGACCAGTAAAAGAAGGGCAAATGTAAACTTGATCACGTTTTAGAGTAATATAGTACTCTTTACTCTAGAAAATGTGATGTTATGACTGCATTATTTATTTGGGACCCAAAGGTTCACTAAACGCAGTGGCCGAGTGGTTTAGACTATATGAAGTTAAGCGGATTCAAACTTTTCCGAAGTTCTGCTCATTTTCCGAGCCTTTTTTAAAATATTATCACTATGGTCAAGAACCATTGGAGCATATAACTCAGTCGTAGTCAATCATATTAACTGTAAAGAAAGTCACTGAGCGTGAAATTCTTTGTACTTTTTTCATAATTTATTAATCAAGTTTTGAATACAATAGACCTTATTCATGATACCTGCTATCTTTGCAGCCGCTTTAAGATTGACGGGATAAAAAACACTGTCACGTGGTTTTTCAGGGGGCAAACAAGCGATAAAATTTGCCAGTATGAGTAGTCGCGATCGTCTTTGTTTATTCTATCAAAAAGAGACGACGATTTAATAATCATGCGAAAAGTACAGTTCCAGTTTTGACAAGATTTTGCTGTGAGGACATCTACGGTCACATCTTGATCCAAAGAAGTAACAATCTGACAATGACCACTTCCACCCATAACTTGCCATAATATATCGTCTTTAAGATGAAAAGTTCCAAATCTGCCTTTGTCTAGAATAAACAAAATCGACCGCAATTTCCTACTTAGAAATTTTTGTCACTTGTTTGTCCCCCCCCCCCCCCCCCCCCCTCACCTCCTTTGGCCGGGGCCAAAATAGGTGGTTTGTTAAAAAAGGTTTTTTTTAAACCACCTTTTTTTTTTTGAACAAACCTTAACAAACCTAAAATTTTTTTTTTTAAAAAACCTTATATTTTTTACCTAGAAAGTTATTTGTTAAAAAACCTGCAAATACCCCCTCCCCCCATAAATTTGCCAAAAATTTCCGCTTTAAGAAGAAAAATTCCCAAATCTCCCTTGTTCAAAAAAAAAAAAATTCGCCCCCAATTTCCACTTTAAAATTTTTTGCCCCTTTTTTGCCCCCCCCCCCCCTCCCATCCATCAGTCCTTAAGCGCGTGCAAAGATGACGGGTATCGTAAATAAGGTTTTATGCAACACACTCTTGTTCTTATGCAACACACTTAACAAACACTAACATTTTACTTAGTAAAAGCCTTAACGTTTTCAGCATGAAATGTGTACGTCTAAAAAGAAAAACGAAATGGCTGAGGCAATGTTCTTTTTTACCAAGAGAGAGTTAACTGTCATAATGACTTCCATACAAACCTGCAAAAGTCTTTCTTTACTTGGCTCCTGTAATACCTTGTTTTGTTCACGCAAGTAAATGTGTTATCGTATCTCACAGTTAACACACGCTGCGATTGTTCGATTTAGCGATTTAGCAGGCATCATTTTCACTGCAATGTACGCTAATTAACAACAAACTTGTTTTGATCAACTGTTTCAAGCAGTTTTACAAGCTACGGTGTCAGTCCTTTTCCTTACTGCTGCGCTAGTAGTTTTATGACAAACGTCAACTAACCTTAAAATCACACAAATACATCTGGTTCTAATAGTTGTTTTTCGAGCAGTACATACGCTGAAACAGTTCTTGCATGTTTTTTTTCAGCTTAAATCTTCCTAGAAAAATAGGACATCTCGAAATCAGGCTGGAAGCTTGGTTTCACTCGACCACTTCCCGAAAATCGGACGGCTACGGGACGACTGTTATTACAAACAAACTTCTTCAATAAAAGTGCCACGATCACTAAAACAAGCAACCCTCCAGAAGCAGACACGCCGATGACAACATAATTTGGACCTTTCTGGGGAACCAATGCGGCTTCCCTTGGTATGGTCGATAAACCAGGTGTCGGTTCGGTGCCTGTATAGAGAAGATGGAAGAGGCACGATGTGAAACGTTATCATAAGAGCCTAGTTCTTATTTAGGCTGTTACATACTGATTTCCACCATCAAAGCAGGGTTTCGATAGGAGTAACCGTCAACCGTAAAACGATCGAAAACTTTAAGTCGTTAGGCGTAAAAAACGGAAATATTTAACCGTTAGTGGTAAAATTATGTTCACCGTGAAAAAATTCTACCAAAAACAGTTGTCATGTAGAGAGTGTCAATATTGCTTGTTATTACTTTGCGTGTCTTATCTCTTTCCTGATGGAGCTATTTCATCCTTTTTTCTCTCTCTTTTTTTTATTCCACAGAGTTTCTTGGAAGCCTTAACGATGGAGACTTTTGAAAGTTATTGATTTTTCTTTTTCAGAAGTCTTTTAACAGTAACGCAGATAAATTAACTGTTGGCCGTGGAAAAGAGAAAATATCAACTGTTAATTAACCGTAAATGTCTCCACACCATTGAGACCCTGAAAAAGCCCTTTACTACCCCGACGAATCTATATACCCCAAGACCTGTTTGCGTATATTATATATACAGCCTTAGAAACTATATATGCCAACAAGTTAAGCCAATATCTAGGCTTTTTTCTTTTTGCTCTAATTCCGCTCACGTTTTTCTCACAACATGTTAGAAACCTGCAAGCATTAAAAGAGCAAGATGAATTCTTTTTCTTCTTCTTCTTTCCACAGTCAGTAAAAAGTAAAATTTTTTTGTAGGTGTCCCAGAGTCACAAATTCTCTGTCATGGTGGGCTGGAAATAATATGAAATATTCTGCTGCAGTGAGGTGTTTTGAAGAATGACGAGTTCCAGCTAGCTATCTGAATTTAAAGTGCTAAAAATCATAATTACCCGTGTGCTTCACTGATGAGACCTCAGAGGTACTGTCATGATTACCCGTGTGCTTCACTGACGAGACCTCAGAGGTACTGTAATCACCCGTGTCCTTCACTGACGAGACCTCAGAGGTACTGTAATCACCTGTACTCTTCACTGACGAGACCTCAGGGGTACTGTAGGTATTGGCTACCTCAGATGAAATAGACGAGGTTCGTGATTTTTGGATGGAAGAGCGATATGGTTTGGTTGGCGGTGTCGTTGTAGCTGAATTGATAACCCTTACTGTCAACTGTATTTCCGTCAAGCAGGATATTTCACCCTTATCAGCTGCACCAACTAAGAGGTAATATTCTTCCCTCGTTGGATTAGAAGTTACCATGATCACACCAGTTATCGAATCAATGTTGAAGGTATCATTATTTGATAGGCTGTACGATATGTCGCCGTTCACGCCACTCTCCAGGTCTGTGGCCGAAACTTTAGTAAGAATACTTCCCGGTTTTATGCCAACGACATCAAGCCGAAGATTTCCTGATGGCTCGACAAATATCGGACAATTATCGTTTTCGTCCGTTACCGTTAGCTGTACAATGGTCATGCTCCATTTCTGCGGGAAGCCATTGTCCGAAGCCAAAAGCGTCATATTGAATATATGGGGGTGCCCCATCTCTAAATCAAACGGTAACAGATTAAAAACTTTTCCACTTGCTCCGTCAACAGCAACAAGGTTCTCAACGCTTCTTTCGCCAAGAAGCCAATAAAATATCTCTCCATTTCTGCCGTCATCAGTGTCATTAGCATGTATGTGCAAAATCAGTGTTCCAGGGGGAGCGTTTTCTTTAATGGTCGCGTTATAAAGCTCTTGATTAAAGGTGGGTGGGTTGATGTTTGTTTTCGCCTTTTGATCGCAGTACTCGCCATCGAAAGCTGGATAACAGGCGCACTTGTTCACAAGAAAACATTGTCCTTGTCCAGAACAGTTCTTAACTCCACTACAATCAGGGATGCTGCATGCTGGACCTGACCACGAAGAGTTGCAGTTGCACACATCATATCCAATACACTGACCGTTACCTAGAAAAATAATTATAATTGCTTAGGTCTAGTATACACATACACTGGGGTAACAAAGGCGACTGCTCAGCTCTCCTCGATTTTAATTACGAGCTAGAAGTCTAAATGGGCGACAATTATAATTACTGTCGTTATAAGCTAAGATATGTAACTAAAAGTCATGTCTTGCGGCATCAAGTAACACCAGCGGCGGCCGCGTAACAGAAGTAGTGGACTATGTTGAAACTTAACCGTTTTGGTGGATTCCCTTTGGATTCCCTCGCAAAAAGTGGATTCCCTTTATTAATATGTATAAGTGTCTTCCTGCATACTAATTTTTTGACTTCCATATATAATGAAGTGGATAGGTTTACTAATGAGCGTCACTCTACTACAATAGGAACAATAGACTTGCCTCGGCTTGCCCGTTAAGGAACTTGAACCCGGTTTTCAGACCGTCTATTAAAAGGAAAATAGGAATAAGAGAAGCGATCACCTAGCAACGCGAGAAACGGCTTCCTATATCTTATTTAGCGCTAAAACTCAGATATACATAAACAAAACACATACAGAAAGTGGAGTTGAAAAGTCTTTATTTCAATAAAGTTTACGTCTTCTTATTTAGCGCTAAAACTCGGATATATAAACAAAACATACACCAATTGGAGCTGAAAACTCTTTATTTCAAGTTTGTCTGACATTTTCTCCTTTCTATCTCGAGGAAATGAAAGTCTTGTCATTTTCAAGCACGGTTAATCAGGTAATTATGCGAGTTGGCAAGCCTAAAGTTGAATACAAATTAGCTCTACGGGAAAGACCCAAGGGAGAGAATCTTGACGTATTATTATAAAACAAATAACTTAACAAGGATCAATTAAAACACGCGACTCATAATTGCTAGCAATAAAAACACAAGAGAGATACCGTTTTAAAAAACTTTATTAAAAAACAATGGCAAAAAGAGTCAAATACACAGGAATGGAAATTAATTAATCTTCATCTTCGTTCTCCTCTGTAGAAGGGGAATAGAAATTAGTCTCCAACGTCTTCGCGTTTTTGTGTGTTACTGCTCCGCAATCGTGACACCGAAGAAAGCCCTCTTTCATGTAATGTCTCCCCTCGCATATAGGACAAATCTTGTAGTAATCGTGCCAAAGGCATTTAGGACATTTCATGATCAATGTCCCGTACACATTAGAGTTTTCGCAGTGTTCACAGGGACTTTTGGAGTGAAAGGTGGTGGACGTTTCAGGGTTACTACTTTCTATCTCCTGACTGTCGTTGTCAGTGTCGTTGTCGCTCTCTTGGGTGTCTTCCGCTTCAACGCCATTCTCAGAAGCCACTTCCTCCTCCTCCTCCTGATTTTCAATATCCGATGAACTCTCCTCATTATTACTCTCGTTATCGGAAGTATTTTCTACATTTTGGTAGCCTTTTTCCTTTTCTATTAAATCACTTAACAACTTTTTGTTCTTGATTAAACCTTTATCGATTCCTAACTCTGCAAGTCCATCTAGAAACGTATTCAGCGCACGAGGCTTGGTAACCTCATTGTTATGAGGGAGTAACACATACTCAACTAGCTCAGCGATGTTTGTGACGGGAATAGTGCGTTTATTTCGAAGTAATTGTCCGCTGGGGGTCCAGAAAAGAATATCTTTGGACGCAGCCATACTATGCAGCAAATCAGAAGCACGCTTTTCCGGCACTGCTCGGGAAAGATGACTCAAAACATCTTTTATTCTCGGTTCTTCTTTCAGTCTTGGTTCTTCATCCTCGCTTTCATTACCAAAACTTTCGCTTTCTTCATGTTCACTCTCGTGATCTTCTTCTTCTTCTTCTTCTTCTTCAACCAAATCTATCTTTCTCTTCATTTTTGATGAGCACCCGTGACAGACTTAGCTTCGAATGATCAACCTAGCGATGTGTCACCTCTTTTATAGCATTAGAAATCCTAAGCTTGAAACGACAGGGGCTAATACATCTTCAATAAAACAACTACCCTCTTGAACAAGGACTCGCTTCTTTGTTTTGAAAGGGCATTTGGACTGGCCAGGTTAAGTAAAGCATCCTTATATGGCAGCAATACCCGCTTATTTTCTTCGGAGATAGGAATGTGTCCCATGAGTAAATTGTATAAGACTTGGACTAGTGCATGAAGTTGCTGTGGTGTAGATGCCTGTAAAAGAAACTGGCGCTGATAAGCGGGGCAAGCAGCTAACAGCTGAAGAAAACCACGATTGTTGTTCACTACACGAGACATGCTACAAAATGAACTAAGAATGGCAGTTGGTAGTCTTTTATAGAACCTGGTGAAGGGAAAACAACAGAAATGTGGTGGGGGTGGTGGTGGGGGCGGACGGAAAACAATAGAAATGTGGTGCCGGTGGTGGTGGTGGTGGAAAGAAAACAATAGAAATGTGGTGGTGGTGGTAGTGGTGGTCTTGGGGGAGGAAAACAGTAGAATCTTGTGGCCTAAAAACCTATATAAATGCTCAACATTCTACCTCTTTCTCAGTCTACATTTTGCTCCTGAGGAGTTGACATGAGTTGGTTCTGTTCTGTCTGCGAAAAATCCTTTAGTAGAAAAGATAGTATGCAAAGGCACGTGATGTCTAAACACCGCAATGCTGGTCTCACCCCATTTCAAACAGCTCCAATATTTTCACAGAAATGTCAGCGGTTTCGCTTCGAGCATCCTTTCACCTCCATGATTGCCGGAATGACCGGGTCCGGAAAAACGGTCTGGGTTCGATCGCTATTGCAACAAGCTTCAGAGACCATTTACCCTCCCCCGGAGCGGATCGTTTGGTGTTATTCACAATGGCAGCCTGCGTATACACAAATGTTAGTCGCCATGCCAAACATTGAATTCGTCAAAGGAATTCCTACGGCTTTGGAGAAGGATTCCTTTTTCGATGTGAACAAACGGAATTTGATCGTGTTTGATGGTTGACGCCAGTAAAGACAAGCGAATTGTGAACCTCTTTACTCGTGGTTCTCATCATCGCAATCTGAGCGTGATTTATATCGTGCAGAATCTATTTCATCAGGGGAAAGGTAGCCGCAGCATAAGCCTAAACAGCCATTATCTTGTGTTATTCAAGAATCCACGAGACAAATTGCAAATCTTGACTCTAGCGAAGCAAATGTATCCCGTGCAGACGGATTTCTTTTTAAATCAGTACGAAGAGGCTGTAAAAAGACCTTTTGGTTATCTTCTGATTGATCTGAAAACTACTACCCAAGATAATTGTCGGTTGCGAACAAACGTCCTGCCCAGTGAAGAAGGCTTTAACCAGGCAGGGTTTCAAGAAAATATTCCTCAAGAGTTCCTAAAATATCTGAAGCAGCAAACTCTTTCGCTTGTCCCACTTCTTCCAGCTATGCAAGAAATACAGGGCAACATGGATGACGTGCTTTCTCGAAACGATCTTCGGGACGATGAAAAAGCTAAGCGATACGTTCAGTTGCAAAACAGATACCTGGCTTTTAAAGAACAATTAAGTACAAGAACACGACCGGAAGAAATAATCAGTACTGTTTCAGACTTAACATCAAGGACACAAGATTCTTCGACAGCAACGACAGCATTCTCCACTCCCCTCAACCCCTTTAATGTAACACCTGAATTAACACAAGCGGCTATCTCTCAAAAACCTGACAAAGAAAGCCTCACCCCTCCACCACCCTTAAATCCTGCTTTCCTGACCCCTCCTCCCACAGTAGAAAACCCATCACAACAAGGCCCGAAGCGCAAAAGGCGTCAGATTCAATTTCTTAAATTATTTGGATGATCATAAATCTCATGGCAAACAGCTGAAGAAACGTCGGCATAAGAAATTCAAACCTTACAAGTACTCCATGGGCGAAGATGAGATTAATTAATTTCCATTCCTATGTATTTGACTCTTTTTGTCATTGTTTTTTAATAAAGTTTTTTAAAACGGTATCTCTTTTGTGTTTTTATTGCTAGCAATTATGAGTCGCGTGTTTTAATTGATCCTTGTTAAGTTATTTGTTTTATAATAATACGTCAAGATTCTCTCCCTTGGGTCTTTCCCGTAGAGCTAATTTGTATTCAACTTTAGGCTTGCCAACTCGCATAATTACCTGATTAACCGTGCGTGAAAATGACATGACTTTCATTTTCTGGAGATAGAAAGGAGAAAATGTCAGACAAACTTGAAATAAAGAGTTTTCAGCTCCAATTGGTGTATGTTTTGTTTATATATCCGAGTTTTAGCGCTAAATAAGAAGACGTAAACTTAATTGAAATAAAGACTTTTCAACTCCACTTTCTGTATGTGTTTTGTTTATGTATATCTGAGTTTTAGCGCTTAATAAGATATAGGAAGCCGTTTCTCGCGTTGCTAGGTGATCGTTTCTCTTATTCCTATTTTCCTTTTAATAGACGGTCTGAAAACCGGGTTCAAGGTACTTAACGGGCAAGCCGAGGCAAGCCTATTGTTCCTATTGTAGTAGAGTGACGCTCATTAGTAAACCTATCCACTTCATTATATATGGAAGTCAAAAAATTAGTATGCAGGAAGACACTTATACATATTAATAAAGGGAATCCACTTTTTGCGAGGGAATCCAAAGGGAATCCACCAAAACGGTTAAGTTTCAACATAGTATACTACTAACAGAGTGGTCAAGGCGTGGGACTGAAAACTTGGAAGTCCGCGGGTTCAAACCCCGCTCCGGCCGCGAGTTGTCCTAGGTATTTTATGATAGTTCAGGGTTTAGCCTCTGGGGTATAGTTGTGCATGTCAATAGCCGACTGGTGTGCCCTCTGCCACGAAAAAACGAAAAAGCTGACTGTGTAAAACAGTGCACGAAGTGGATTACCTTGCTGACACGATAATAGTTGAGGACGTATCGGAACATGTTTGCCTTTCATAAATAGGAGCAATCGATTATAAAAAGCAAAAGAGGGAAACCACAATGCAAAGGTGGCCCAACCATGACTGAACAGGTAATTTAGGGAAAGGGTGCTCAGTTTAATCAGTAATGATGACAATAATAACGATAATGATGATGTTAATAATATGATAATTAGGTCATCTCATACAGGACTATCTTCTGCGTGTACAAATTAATGAACGTAAGGTAAATCTTACCGGGCAATCAACATTCACGGGTAACAGTGCCATGTAAATCTCTGCCTGTGACGTCACAGCTTTTGCATTATTTCCCTCTCAGAGACTTTTGGCGGGAAACAGTTTTATGTCTTTTATTGTTAGATATCATGTGACCTTGATGTAAGCAGCGAAAGCTCGCCATATTAACAAAAAAATTAGTACAAACATCTTACGTAACATACCAGAGCAAAAATTTAGAGTTTCACAGGAGTAGTTACTACAGTCTATGCCATTGTATCCCTGTTCACATTTACAGAGCTCGGCCTCTATACACACACCGTGACCAGAACAATTGTTAAGTGACGTACAGGTAGGTTGACTGCAGTTATCTCCAGTGAATCCCGGATAACAACTGTGAAAGACAATTCATAAAAGCCAGATATTAGACACATGTGACTCTTAGTGGTTTCTTTGTTTTCTTTGGTATGCTAAGGAAGAACACGTTTTCTTGCCTGAATTTGAGGAACAGGACGGGAGAGGAAAGAAGACGGCAAAACCTGTGTGGTAAGCGTGTCAATAATCATATTTGAAAAAATTTTCCGCCAAACTTCACCTTTTTAAACTGATCTTAGTAATGTTAATGGAAGATCGCGACAAAACACGCAAGTTAGAGGCCTGTCACGTTCGTCACACGTTTTGCTGTCCTCTTCTTTCTGCCATCCTGTTGCGCAAGCTCACTGATAATTCTTCAGTTGCATGTGTAAATGGTAATGCTTGCCAATACACAGACAGTCAAAGAAAAGGAAACAAAATCTTCTTGTGGATTTAGACATACCGGGTAAAACATCGTGATCAAATAGTGAAACTCTGCTCATTATCACACTTAATAAGCCTGGTTGTAGGCCAAATTTAACAATTGAAGGTTAATACGACAATTTCTCTTGTATTTTTTTAATCGAAACTTAGCACATTTTGCATCCGAAACTAGCAAATTTTGCTCCAGAAAAACAAACAAAGAAACAAAATAAAAGCAATAAATAAATAAATAAACAACAACAACATTACTCGACTTCCATACCTACATGATGCGTTCCCTGACGTCATGGAAAGGCAAGTACCGTGTCCGCTACAGTTTGCAAATATACTACAGTCAGCCACTTTACTGCAACTTGCCCCCACGAATCCTGGGTAACATCGGCATTGGTTGCTGGAAACACACTCTCCTTTCCCGGAGCACTGATCCACAGCTGAACAATCAGGAAGAGCACAGCTTGCGCCAGTCCAGCCAAAATCACAGGCGCAAGTGTCTAGTGCCACGCAGCGACCACGCTCTTTGAGAAACAACCACACATTACTCAAGGGGAATAAATAATAATAATAATAATAATAATAATAATAATTATAGTAATAATAATAACAAAAAGGAGAAACGAAGGGTGGATTCATTTGCAGCATATGTGTGTATAGCCGTCGCAATTTTCATTTTTCTTGAGCTTTAAAACAATAGAAAATTCCAAGTAGCATTTTGTGTTATCATTACCATATCTCAGAGTAAAGGCCCAACAGTCAGCTGTTTACAGTATTTTGTAAGCTCGAGTTGCATACTTGCTTAAAATTTGGCTTAATCCTGTGTTAAACGTAACCATCTTTCGAGGAACCGGACCCAGGGTAACAGGTGCACTTTGACAGATCAATTCTTTTCTGATCCACTTTGACTGTTTGAAAACGAAAAAAATTACAAACTCAAGCCAAGCAAAATACTGCAAAGAAAAGGTGTCATATACGTCAAAAAAAATTAATATCTTACCAGAACGTTTCCAATTTGCTAAAATTAAATTAGAGAGAAATTAAAACTGCTTAATTATGCTTGAATGCTACGCGTTTTAAACAAAAAGAAGCTCATTTATTCTGAGAACCATTGAAAAACGTTGTTTCATGAACCAGTTTTTTTATATCCTTGCTGGCCTTCAACTGACCTTCTACTGAACCTTCATACAGGTTCTTAGGTTTTTAATGTCCTTCAATCTTATAACGAGTCATATGAGACACCTCCATAATAATTTTAAACAAATTACATCCCATCTAAAGAAGTAAATCCAGAATACAAACTTTACCTGAACAATAATCGAACCGTTCACACGAGTATTCAGTGCAATTACTTCCTGTCCAACCTTTATAACAATGACAGGCACCAAAATCGATACAGAGCCCGTTCCCTGAACAATTTGACACATTGTGACAAGTAGGCACAATGCTGCAACCAACACCTTAGGACATAAAACATCGGTATCAGTTAATTTCCCGTAATGTACTAAATATTTGAGACTCCATCAACTCAAAAACATTAAAATATGAGTGTGCTGTTACGTTTCCATAGCAACCTCAGTTATTTTGCAATAGTAGACCAAAATACTTCAATAATTTTCCAACATACCAACATTGTCAAGCGGACTTCTCTCGTCTCCTTCAAAATCAACTTAAGGTGGCTCGACTGGATTTTTTTAAGGGGATACCTCCCAAGTTTGAGCATTAACTACGTCGGCATGAATAGAGATATGGAAAAAAAGTTACCACAACTGTATTATATAAAGATGAAAATTTCTTATGATCTAGGTTTTATTGCAATCGGAGTCGCCATGGCAACGTAATGACGCCATTACGTTTTTCATTTATCTTTGTGTTTCTCTATACCAGGAGTTTTTTTGAAGAAATCGCTTAAGGGAGTATGTACCTGCCATAATTGCCTCCATCATGGTAAAGTTTAAAGAAATTCTATGAGAGCGTTTTCGAAATATTTTGAAATGCAGTTTTAAGAATCATCAAAGCAGTGAAATAGCATGCTAGCCGCACAATTCGCTAATATTTTAAGAAAATAATAAGCTTTGGGAACGCGGCTTCTTCTCATAGTGGTTTGATTCCATTGAAAACTGCATACAAAAAGAGAGGGGAATTGCTCTGGGCGATCGCGAGTAAGAAGGATTTTTTTAACTTGCATTCAGCTGCTTTTGATAGTTTTTGGACGTAATTTGGTCCATGCCTAAAAATTTCGCATTTTTCCAAAAACCGCTCGATAATTTTTTTTTTATAAATTCGACAATTCCGAGATCAATCGTCGAGAAATATTCCCTGCAAGTTTTAAGAACATTGAAAACAGGGAAGGCTTTTAAATAGGGCCTCAAATATAGCCAATTTTCCCCCCAGATTTTGTGTTTACAAGCGAGCGTCCTCATTATTCACTGGCATTGTTTTCAAGTTTCATATACACGTGCACACTTAGCAAAAAGATAGAAATTGCATCAAAAAGGACCCTCGGTTAAATCTCCGGGATATGCTAATTACTGGGTAAAGAGATTAGTGATACATTATAACATCAGAGCAACTCTTTGTGAGAGTTTCTGTGATGTTATAACCCGAGTAGGATAATTAAGTATTGCATCCTACACGATGAGCCGTGACGTTCACCGTTTCGGCTCTCACTGCTATCTGTGACGACAAGCCAGTTATTAGCATATTCCGGAAATTTCTTCGGAAAGTAATCGAGAGTTCTTTTTTATGCAAATTTATATCTATTGCTAGTTGTGCACGTGCATATGAAACTTGAAAACACTGCCGGTGAATAATTAGGACGCTCACTTGTAAACACAAAATCCTGGGGGGGGGGGGATTGGTTATGTTTGAGGCCCTATTTAAAAGCCTTCCCTGTTTTCAATGTTCTTGAAACTTGCAGGGAATATTTTTTGACGATTCATCTCGGGATTGTCGAATTTATACAAAAATTTATCGAGCGGTTTTTGGAAAAATGCGAAATTTTTAGGCATGGACCAAATTACGTCCAAAAACTGTATCAAAAGCAGCTGAATGTAAGTTAATAAAATTCTTCTTACTCGTGATCGCCCAGAGCAATTCCCCTCTTTTTTTGTATGCAGTTTTCAATGGAATCAAACCACTTGAGATGAGGCCGCGATTCCAAAGCTTATCATTTTCTTAAAATATTAGCCAATTGTGTGGATAGCATGCTGTTTCACTGCTTTGATGATTCTTAAAACTGCATTTCAAAGTATTTCGAAAACGCTCCCACAGAATTTCTTTAAACTTTGCCATAATGGAGGTAATTATGGTAGGTACATACTCCCTTAAGCGATTTCTTCAAAAAACTCCTGGTACAGAGAAACACAACGATAAATGAAAAACGTAATGGCGTCATTACGTTGCCATGGCGACTCCGATTGCAATAAACCCAGATCATAAGAAATTTTCATCTTTATATAATACAGTTGTGGTAACTTTTTTCCCATATCTTTACTCATGCCGACGTAGTTAATGCTCAAACTTGGGAGGTATCCACCCCGAAAAATCCAGTCGAGCCACCTTAAGAAAGCCTATCCTATGAGCGATTCTTAACCTTTTCCCTTTTCATATAACACATCAAGTCAAACGTCAATATTGTTGCTGATGATAATCAAAGTGGCTGGGAGACTTCTAGCCTCCCACGCAGACGTTCTTAGGGGTTCATCACGCGTTACTGCCGCGTGACGACTGCCCTAAGAACGCCTGCGCGGGTCGGGAGGCTAGGAGGCTAGGAGACTTTGGAATTTAAAAATATTCAAGAAGTCTTTAATCCTTTTAATAAAAAGTCCTTTGCAGCTCGGCGCCACGTGACCAATCTATGCCAAAATTATGGGATCCAACCTAAAGAATGCTAAAAATTGAAAGGGCTTCGTCTGCAATTTTGGGCGGTTTAAACTCTTTACAGTCCGATTTTTTAATTGCATAATTTCTCAACTCAGCCCCATTCAATAATTGCTAAATATAATCAGTGATACTTAATCCTTAAAATTGTTATGATTTAGATTACAAATCAGGACGATTATAAGTATGATTTATGGCTACAATAATGACTACCATTAAGATTACATAAAGCTCTGGAACTGCTGTTATAATACTATGACTGTCATATCGACGTATTACTGTACTTACCGACGTATCCTTGATTGCACTGACAAATATCCGTCTTCTTGCAAGCGCCGTGGACAGGACTTGTGCAGTTGTTAACGTTGTGACAAGTAGCTAATTAAGAAAATCACATTAATTTCATCCTACCCCATTCTAGAAAAACTATTTTAAGTTATTTAAACACCTATTAAAATTTCTTTATCTGTTCGATGAATTATTTACTAAGTTGTTAGGGGAGCTCTCTCACGCGCAGCGGAGCACCATGGGTAAGAAAATTTGGTTATCTCTGGATGCGGGAAATTTTTGTTGACAAAAAATGCACGTCCACCCATTTACGTTGACCGATGTCAAATGTCTCACACAGGCATTACAAATTGTGTTCGTCTTGATATTAGACATCCATGTTATGGACAATTGAGAGCGGTCAAAATGGAGTATCCAGCACATAATTTTTGGCAATTTAATTCAGGAGTAACCATATAACTGGTCGTTGAGTTTAAATGCGGAAATAACCGCTATGTAGAAGACCACAAGAGACATTTACGAAGGTCAAAAGGGATGGTCATGAGAGAAAGGTCGGCTTACATTGAAATCTATTCACACCTAATTCTAAATGGCGACAAATTTAGTTATACTTTTAAGGCGATCATTGGCCCTCATTGCCTCGCATCAAGGTAAGTTAAAGTTCTTTCCATTCCGTCGATGTAATCAAGGTAGATTGGGGTAATTATCATAATATAAAAGAAAAGTAATATTTTGGAATAACTAGTATTGTGCTTGAGTTAAGTTGTAAAAACGTTGGTCCGACTTTGTCAAATAATCGTCAAGTTCTATGGTCGAAAGTCACTCTTTGTGATGTGGTGGTGATTTCTCATAAAAGGCCCTTGCCTAGCTTTTTTTGAAGTGAAAGGAGTTAAAAATACTTATAAGTTGTTCAATGCAAAAGTACGCTTTGCACAGTATGGCTAAAATGGTACCCATTGTTCGCTTGTTTTAACTTTTGATTATACCTCGCAAATAATGCATGTTGTAAATTGAGACAGGGGGAAGGTTTTCCAAGTACAGGACTTTTTACATGTATGAATGCTCTAACCTTTCAACTCACAGCTTTGTCCTTCCCAGCCCAATTCACATACACAAAATCCTTTTACACAGTTCCCATGGATGGTTGAACAATTTTGACAAGAACCTACAGACGTTGACAACAGAATATTATTAACATAACATGCTTAATCCTCGAACGAAAGTACATGCAAACCCCAAGAGCAGCTACTGAAATGGACAAACGTCCACATAAAATCTTCTTGGTAAATTATCCCCCCGCCCTTTGTACTTCCGAGGGTTAAGGTGCGAAGTACTTTATAACTGACCGAAGAAATAAGGACTTGTCTGTAATAGGAGCATTCCTTTCCTTTATCCTGGGAAAGGGAAAGGACATCCACAGGCAAGGCGAACCGCGTGAGCAACAAAGGCACGATGCGCGAGAAGCAAAAAGGACAAATGACGACGTTTCTGGTCTTCCCTCTCCCCATTCCGTTCACGTCTTTTCCCGCGGGTTTGCATAAACTTTAAATTAAAAAAAAGAAAATTAAAACTGGTTATTAAGCCCGCAGAATTCGGAGTTGTTTTGGTGGTGTTTCTAGGCCTGATGTCAACCCACGGGCTATGATGACTGGCAGAGTGGGCTCAGAAATAGATATCTAAAATCGCTCCAGTTTTAATGTGTTCAAACTGCTTCCCAACATGCATGAATGTATGGCCAGTAATTATCACCTCGTGGCTCCACCGGTTTGAGGGGAAAACGACGCCATCTAACAGAATACGAGTCGTCTTTCGCTTAAACGTTTAATGCTTAGAGGGTGCACTTTAATTTATCAATACGTCTTAAAATACCTTTGTTACAGCTTTCTCCGGTCCATCCATTGATGCAGCGACATGTTCCATTCACACAGCGGCCTTTTCCTGAGCATTTGTCTGGACAACCTGAAAATAAGGAGGCAGAAAGTGTCCTTGTATTTTTGTTATTTTAATGATTTTCTTCTGTTTAGACACATTTTCCGATTATGATTTGACAACTGCCGAGTTTTGTAAATCAAACAGATAATCTGATGTCAAGCTTACCTTCTTTGAAATTCTCTTGGTCCGTGAATGTTGTGTCATTAGTTATTGCAACATCGTAAATGCAGCTTTGTAAATTGCTATCAGAAATGCCGATAGACTTACACAAACTTGTTGCCAACTATTTAAGAAAAATACGCACTTCTCAGTACTAACAGGCCATCTCATGTCTCATGGGGGGTAGAGGAGGAGAGGGGGAACTCAACTACTAAAGCTATACAGACTTGTGCCACGGGATAGGACGTGGCTTTCGAGGTGCTCAGCCCCCTCTAAAGGGTATCCTTTTTGGCACTGTGACCCTTTAGTACGGTAACTAACTATAAAGGACGCCGGTGCAGAGATTCTAAGGCTATGCACTATACTGGAGGCCAAGTTCTGTAAGTTAGAAAGTACATAAAAATGAGAAATGTGTAAATTATTACACACACAACTTTCTCTCCAAAACCCTTTATTTGTATAGGAAATAGTATGATTTGTAGTGGTATTTGGCGTAAATACCAAGAATGATATTTCGAAATTGTTATACATAATTTCACGAGCCGTTAAGCGAGAGAAATATGAGACAATTTTGAAATATCACAAGTGGTATTTAAGCGAAATATCACGTTCAAATCATGCTATTGTTTGTTTATACTACTACCTGCGAAAGGTTTGTAATTTTCACATGTAGGTATTTCAAATTAAGCTGAAATACCACTGCTCTAAGCCAATCAAATTGCAGAAATTTCTCATGCAGTAGTATAACACGAGAAATGCAACCTTAGATAAACATTTCCTAGCCTTAATTTCAGACCTCCCTTAATTCGAGTCGAAGCCATATCTGAAATTCAGGCTAAAAGATTTCCCTAGATAGATTTTCACCGTCTTCCGTTACAAATCGATAAAAACCATTTGATTGCAAACAATTTCATAGATTTCGATTCTTATGCATTGACTTTAAAAAAACTCCGGGATGGACATTATTTAAAAAGGAGGACAGATCGCGCAAAACTGGGCACCTTAAGCAGTCGTGCGAACAAATACCAAGAAAGCGACGGACTTTGGCTTGTCATTGCCTACTGGTAGGTAGAAAATTATTTTGTTCATTCTGAATTTGCAACAAAATCGTAAAATGCACTTGGCAAAATCCTCGAAATGTTTGTAAATTGTAAACAAAGTTCCTACTAAGTGACGTTTTTAATTTACTAAAAGTTGCTTTTTTTCAGTTTTACCCAACTGATTTGGTAAATACTAAAACTACTATCCCCCTCAGGGTCGATGAACAGTGCTACACCTAGCTTCCCTTCGGGGGATAGTTGTGTACTATCTTGACTAACAGAACGATTCAACTAGGTTAACTACACTGTAAATCAGAAAGATCTGTTATAGCCCCCAAAATGGGGCCGTTTCGGTGAGTAAAATACAGTCCTATTTTTGACTCTAATTTAGCTCCCTTAATCAGGACCAATGCAGACCAATTACACAGGACTGATTTGGACCCAAGGGTTGAAATGGGTCCCAGCGTTGGCTGGGATAGGCATTTGATGGGGTTGTTTCGGCTTAAATTGTGCTCAAATGGCTCCAGGAGGGGCTCAATCGGACTTTGGCCTGCAGGGCTGAATTGGCACTTTGGGGTTGAAACAGATCTTTCTAGTTTCAGTGTAGGCTCATCGCGTTACGGCCCCGGAGTCCGTGCAAAGAAATGAAAACAGTCTGCTCCAAACATTTTCTATTATCCGCTTTCTATTTGATGGAATGTCATTTTTCTCCTTAAAAGGGTGTCAATTTTCAATTTGATTTCTCTTAAATATGACCGAGATTTATGAATCTTTGGGGCACCTATACGAATCTTTAATTGGCCCAAGTAAGCGCAACCCTCTCCAGCAGCCTTTTTAACGAAATAAGGGACCATTTGGGAAAGAAGGGGTGTAAGCGGCTTAGCCCAAAACAACAAATAAACAAACCATAACAAAAACAACACCACAAAAAAGAATGAACAACAACAAGACAACAACAAAACAGTACGTCGAAAAAACTCACTGCCTGCTTAGTTTCGGAGAAAAAGGATATTAATACTTGTAGACAAATGAAAAATAAGCAAATAATAAAGTAACAAGTCAATAAATAAAAGTAAGTACAACGTAAAAAAACTGAAAATAATAAGGCGGCTCAAAAACGTCATCACGTTTGCATAGATTGAAGGACGTAGCCTTTCATAATCATAACAACAGAATAATATAATTCATAACATAATTCATAATTCATAACAACAGATAATAATATTTAAATAACGTTTTCTGTTTCATCTCGACTGTTACCTCCAAGACAGACTGTGAAATTCCTTGTAATGAGTAAATGGGATGAAATGACGTGTCAGTATACGAAAGGTCCATGGTGTCTTCGTGATAAAAATTCGATGAACTCCATGACCAAGAATCCCGAGTCCCAGATCCATTATGACAATCCATGATTCTCCCTAGTCACCAAATGAAGGAGCCAATTGATATGGAGAATAAAGTACATGATAATTTAAATAACTGTATTTTCCTCACATGACAAGTGCGAGACTAGTTCTGGAGTTTAAGAGCAATACGCGTAGGGAGCAGATACAAATTGCCTTTATTAAGGCTTTAAATAATAATGCCGGTACACTGCAAAAATGAGCTCATAAAACGAAAGATCTACCATGTTGTCTACTTTTTGGTAGACTAGTAAACTTTGTAAGGTTTTTTGTATCGTATCATCGAAGGAAGACTATAATAAACACTTTTAAGTGTTTATTATAGTCTTCCTCGGGACAATTCGTTATTGAAATAACGAATTGTCCCGAGGGAAGCAGTTAATTTTGTTTCCCGAGAATCTCACGAGAGACCAGAGTCTTCAAGTGATTTGTTATATAGCTGTAAAATTTAAAGCTGGAAATTCTAAAAAAAACCTCGCTGTAACGGAAGTCGTCGGTCAACGTTCGCGGCTAACAATTCACTGTTACCCTCTGACAACATAGATAGCGATAAGGATCAGACTGAATTCACATAAATTTTATTCCGAAATATTTTCAAGATTTTATTATTATCATTATTATTTTGATTTCTTAACCTTTTGGTCGCTCGTTTTTACGTTGAGCGTTTCTGATCCACGGTAACCAGTTAGGCGAAACTACAGAGCCATGTTTTTCCACAAGACAGCAGGCTTCATTTTCAATTACTTTCTAGTTTCAAACTATCACACTAAAGAATCATTCATGTGGCACAAACTTGTCAATTCAAACTTATCATCTCGTACATGACTCTGCAAACTGCACTGCTCTCTCATAAGCTTCGCCATTCGGTCCCATGAAGTCATTTGTGGCATTGTTGTCCATAAAGCCACACAGCCCCTCGGTATGTCCTTTGTACGCAACAGTTGGAGCGTATAGAACATTCAAATATTGCCTTCTCATAGTGCGGCTGTGTTTAACATCAATGGTAACCGTGACACCTAAAAAAAATAATTGAGGTGTACAATAAAAACTGAGCGAGAAATTTGGGGTTTAATTGAACGCCTAGCTCGCGCAATACTCGTCAAAAATCTTGAAACACCCCTAGTTGTGTGCGTTTCCCCTTCTCCAATGTTGATTTGGGTATTACAGTCACGGTCTCAGAGTGCTCCAAAATACGCGTGGCTCAACATTGGGGAAGGAGAGGGGCACAAAAGAACAAAAGTGCGAAGAGTGAATGTAAGAAATTTTCGAGAAAATTCAACACAAACGTGTCTGTTTCAACGATTTGTGACGATGACGGTGACGGCAAAGAAGAGCGCCAAAAAAGGCAATGGATTTATAAGGCAAAACAACCATTCTCCATGGGCATCACGCTTTTTGCTACATATCTTTAATTTGCCGTCACTATGCACACGACTAGGACGTTAAACTTTCTTTTTCTACGTTTTACGAGGGACGTAAACACGAGACGAAGATTTTCGCTTTCTTTTAACTTTTTGAGCTTCGATACGGCCCTTATGAATTCCACTCTAGGACAACTGGCCAATATTTGACAATTTGAATGAGGTGGAATTATGGCGATGAAGTTTGAAACAGCACGATCTCACTTTTTCAGTGACCTTTTCGAGCGCTGCCGTCGCCGTGGTGGTTGCATGCCTATAAGCTCCCTATTCCTTGGTTGCATCACGGACCTCCCAAGGACGGAATTTCTTACGGGTATAATTGGGATCAAATTACCATAATGATTTGATGATGTAGCTGGTTGCATTAAACATCCAGTCAACAAAAACATATCGCCCCGATACACAAAGTAAACGGTTTAGAAAGCCTTTGTTTCAAACAATTAGGTTGAACAGTATGTTCCACGGCATGCTAACGATTTCAACATGACATCCTCGATTCAACTCTCATCAATACATTTTTAAATGGAAGTCTGAAGTTAGGAAATGATTCCCGAGAATACTTGCCTGACTCGTATTCCAGGGAGATGAGAACAACGCTGTTCTCTTCTTCTTCAAATGTGAAACGTACTTGACGATCAAGCAAAACGGAGCCGTTGTTTATCTCAATAGGTTGTGATGAGTTATCCGTGACATTTATCAGGATTCCATCCACTCTGTTTAACAACAAGGAATCACCATACAGTGACATTAGCAGCTTGCAAAGTTTTTAGTGCTGAAAAATATTTCATCGGACATTGAATCTTCTAGAATATTGCTGTAAAACAAATAAACAAACGAAAAACAAGGCAAAACAAAGCAAAACAAAATACTCTATCAATACTTAACAGTCATCTCGTTTGTGTGAGTATGTGTAATCAACTGGTGACGAGTGAAATTAGGGAATAATTTCACGCGCCTTTTCCCCAATTCCTAATAATTTCCCGAGCCTTCAGGGTCAGGAAATTA